GAGATTGAGACCATCCTGGTCAACAAGGTGAAACCCCGTCTCTACTAAAAATACAAAAAATTAGCTGGGCATGGTGGCGCGTGCCTGTAATCCCAGCTACTCAGGAGGCTAAGGCGGGAGAATTGATTGAACCCAGGAGGTGGAGGTTGCAGTGAGCCAAGATGGTACCATTGCACTCCAGCCTGAGTAACGAGAGCGAAACTCCGTCTCAAAAAAAAAAATGCCTAGCAGGCCAGGCATGATGGCTCACACCAGTAATCCCAGCACTTTAGGAAGCCGAGGCCAGAGGATCACTTGAGCTTAGGAGTTCAAAACCAGCCTGGGCAACATAGTGAGAACCTCATCTCTAAAACATAATAATAATGATAATAATAAATAAAAGGCCAGGCATGATCCCAGGACTTTGGGAGGCTGAGGTGGGTGGACCATCTGAGGTCACCTGGGCAACATGGTGAAACCCCGTCTATACTAAAAATACAAAAAAATTTAGCTGGGTGTGGTGGCAGGCGCCTGTAATCCCAGCTAGTCAGGAGGCTGAGGTAGGAGAATAGCTCGAACCTGGGAGGCGGAGGTTGCAGTGAGCCGAGATCACACCATTGCACTCCAGCCTGGGCAAAAAGAGTGAAACTCCATCTCAAACATAAATAAATAAATAATAAAAATAAAAATGCAGAGCAACCTCAATGACAGCCAAGGACATGTATGGGCACTTGTGCAGACAGAGTCTATAGAAGTATAAATTGGCACAACTTTTCTGGAAAATAATATATACCTATAGTCCTACAGATGGTCTGTTCCATATATACATATAAAATATAGCTCTGATCCTAACGGTCAGAAAACTATGTTTCAAAATCGGAATCTAAAATATAGAACAAAGATTAAAATAAATGATTAGATATATAATCATACAAATATTATGGGATATAGTATAGTTATCAAACATCATGTTCACAAAGTTTCCAGGCAGAGACTAAATAATTATAAAAAGATAAAATAATTACTGGGTGCAGCAGCTCACATCTATAATCCTAGCACTCTGGGAGACCAAGGCAGGAAGATCACTTCAGCCCAGGAGTCTGAGACCAGCCTGGGCAACACGGGGAGACAGACCCCATCTCTACTTGTTTTTTTTTTTCCCGAGACAGAGTCTTGCTCTGTTGCCCAGACTGGAGTGCAATGGCGTGATCTCGGCTCACTATAAGCTCCGCCTCCTGAGTTCAAGCAATTCTCCTGTCTCAGTCTCCCAAGTAGCTGGGATTACGCTGCCTGCCAGCACACCCAGCTAATTTTTGGACTTTTAGTGGATATGGGGTTTTACCATGATGGCCAGGCTGGTCTCAAACTCCTGACCTTAAGTGATCTGCCTGCCTTGGCCTCCCAAAGTGCTGGGATTACAGGTCTGAGCCACTGCTCGGCCCAACTCTACTATTAAAAAAAAAAAAAAGGCTGGACGTAGTGGCTTATGCCTGTAATCCCAGCACTTTGGGAGACCAAGGCGGGCAGATCTTCTGAGATCAGGAGTTCAACAACAGCCTGGCTGTATAGTGAAACCCCATCTCTACTAAAAGTATAAAAATTAGCCAAAATTGTTTGAACCCAGTAGACGGAGGTTGCTGAGAACCAAGATCGCACCACTGCACTCCAGCCTGGGCAACAGAGCAAGACTCTGTTTCAAAAACAAAAACAAGAATTAGCTGGGCATGGCAGTGCACACGCGTAATCCCAGCTAAGGAGGCTGAGGTATAAGAATCACTTGAATCCAGGAGGCTGAAGTTGCAGTGAGCCGAAATCAACATCACTGTACTCCAACCTGGTTGACAGAGTAAGACTGTCTCAAAAATAAAATGAAATAAAATAAAAAGAAATTTGCTGGGTGTGGTGGCACACACCTATAGTCCTGGCTACTCAGGAGGATCACTTGAGCCCAGAAGTTCAAGGCTGCAACAGGTCATGATCACACCACTGCACTCTAGCCTGGGTGATAGAGCAAAACCCTGCCTCAAAAAACAAAACATTACATTATGAATTTATGAAATGGCTTATTAAAAACTGCATGAAAAAAGGCTGAGAGGAAGTATGCTGAAGGTTAAGAGTGGACACATTCACTGGGTTAGAAGCTTCAAGAAGGTTCACCACACCTCTAGTTCCTAAAGGGCAGTGCCCAAAAAGTAACTGAATTTCTTGATGATATGATTATGGGTAATACTTTCTTCCTTAGATGTTACCTTAGAATCTTAGATCTAAAAAATTACAGAAAAACAAATTTAAAGAGAATAGACTGAGTTGCATTGGCAACAATGAAGTCTCTAGGAAGCACCTCCCTAGCCTCCCCTCCCACCTGCCCTCCTCTGTACACACAACCAGGACAATCACTAGGTGGCTACCTAAGGACAGCACCCTCCACAAAGGCCCAGGGCTGTGCTGCCATGCCTTCACTGGCCTGGCTCTGTTTTCACCCCAATCGGGCAGACCTCAGGTGAGTTTGTATAGTAGATTCCCATGCTGGCCTGGCTGTCCAATGCAGGAAGACCTAAGGCCCAAGTTGGGGTACAAGTGTGAACCCTGGGGATACCAGATGTCAAGAATGCCTTAACTGCTCTGAAGAAAGACTTTGTTGAAACACTCCTCATACAAACCCAGAGCCCTGGAAGGAAGCAAGGGAGAGGACCGACAAGAAGGTGGTATACACAGGGATAAGAGCAGCCCTGGCTGTGGCTTACTGTCTCCAAGGCAAAACTTCGGCCTGGAGACTCCTCAGAGCCTCACCCCAAGGACATAGGGATTCTACCAGCCAGCCTCCACCTTTGGCCTAGTGAGACTTTAACTCACTGCTCCATCACCCCTGCCAGCGTGAAACCAGAGAGAGGCCTTTGCATGAGCTGCAGAAGAGCATACCCAGCAGCAATCTACCCTTGGAGCTAGGTGGCAGACTCTCAGGCCACTGAACTCTCAGGGCCAGACTGCCCAAGTCTTACCACTTAAAACCATTCCATTTATTTCTATCATTTTCCATAGAGCCACAGATTAACTGTTCACTTCTTCGATCAGTAGTATACACAATCTCAAATAGAAAAGGCACGAGTGGTCTGACAGTCCTAGCCATTCTCAGATCCCTAGAGTAGGCAAAGGCTGCACTCACAGACAAACCTCTCCCACACAGAGATGTCTCTGCCATCCACACCCTTTGCCCTGAGCCTTAATACCATCAAGCCTAAAGAAATCTAAAGGAGGTCGGGTGTGGTGGCTCAACGTGTGTAATTCCAGCACTTTGGGAGGCTGAGGCAGACGGATCACGAGGTCAAGAGTTTGAGACCAGCCTGGCCAACATGGTGAAACCCTGTCTCAACTAAAAATACAAAAATTAGCCAGGCATGGTGGCACACACCTGTAATCCCAGCTACTCAGGAGGCTGAGTCAGGAGAATCGCTTAAACCTAGGAGGCAGAGGTTGCAGTGAGCCAAGATCGCGCCACTATACTCCAGCCTGGGCGACAGAGCAAGACTCTGTCAAAAAAAAAAAAAAAAAAAAAAAAAAAAAAAAAAAAGGCAAAGAAAGAAATCTAAAGGATACATCCTCAAAATCAGACTGGCAGCTCCCAGATTTAAACATTGTGAGCATATACTAATCATTACAAAGTATATCTTTCCTTAGTTATCCAAACAATTAAACATCTATAGGAAAGAAGCACATTCTATGTTCTGCTTTGGCAAAGTAGCAATCCATCCATGAGAAAAAAATACATACAGGACCAGGTCAGGCACAGGGAAAGGGCCTAAGGCTCAGATGTGCAAAGTGGAAATGAAAAGGAAGAGAGAAGGTGAGTGGATGAGGAAGAACAGGAAAGGAGGGCACTCACGCAGGGCAAGGCTGTGAGCTGGGGTAGCTGGAAGGCTACACAACGACCAAGTGAGGCTGCCTGGTGGACAGATGGTGGAGGTTCCAGGGAGAAGGCAGGAATGGAGATGGGTGTGGGAATCCTTCACGTCCTGCATAATCTATGATCCTGAAAGAAGTACAGTCCCCAGAGACAAGAGAGAACTGGAGAACAGCAGGAGACCAAAAAGATCCAAGTTTAAGAGTGAGGAGGAAGGAGTGGCAGGACAGGAGTCAGTGGCAGGCTGGTCACAGGACTGGAGGCTGGAAAGCTGCCCGTCCTCCCAAAGCTCAGGAGGCAAGCAAGGGCCATGATGTCAGGGCTGCCAAGCCAGAGGCATGACAACAGTCGGGGCAGCCCGTGGGCTGGGTGTGATGTGGTTTCAGGAGAGTGAGAGGAAGGGGGATTGCAAACTGGAATTAATTATAAGACAAGGCTCTTGAAGGGTGAAGGGATCAAAAAATGCAGAAAAGAGTAGACACTAAGAGGATGCTAAGGTCCAGAGAAAGCCACTGTTAGGAGGGGCTTGAGCCCATTAGAAAGCAAAACTCTTTGAGATGGGGCAGCTGGGCTGGGGGGCTGACACTGGAGGCGTAAGCCCCAGAAAAGACATGGGGTGAGGGGAACATGTGGGCAATTAGGAAAAGGAAGTTGAGAAACAGAAGGCACAGGTTGGAAGGGAACAGGAATAAAGTCCAAAATACAGGTATCCAAAGGGTTAGACACACAAATGCAAAACCAAGAGAGAAAGCAAAACAACTAGAGGGGAATGCTTGCCCCCCTCCCAAGGGAGCTCAGAGAAGAAGGTCCCGCTGATCAATCAGGCCAAGCACATAGAAGCCAGGGAAGCCAGGAAAGAGCAAGAGCACAGACACACTCCTTTTCTCTGTGTCCACAGATCTACAAAGCTTAGGACCCCCTGAGTTTTACAAAACCAGTGCCAAGATGTGACTCTATTCAGGACCCAAGGCTACACTCCCTACCTTATTACCCTAGAGTGACAAGTCACTTCTGTGCATCTGCTGGCTACCCAGACTAAGAGCCTACTAAGGAGCAGAAAAGAAGCCCAACAGCACACACATCACCTTAAATCTGGTAGGAAGTGGAAGTGTTCAATACTCACAGGAACAATAAGCCCTTGCCAAGTCAATAAATTAGCTTCATCAACCTGGATGTTACGGAAGTTTTTCATTCCACATTTGCGGATTTCTTCAAGCTCCTGTTGATTGACAAAGCACAAAGGGGTGTCAAACAGGGGAAAGCACCACATATTAAGATCCCTCCTGATGCCCTCAAATTAAACCAAGTGCCAAAAATGCCAATGACAAAATTGGAGAGTGAGGACTAAACTGTGCTTGGAGTGGTTAAGGAGGCATGGAGCTTGCCATGGCAGTCCCCACTGCAAGGTCACTGCCCCTCTACCCATGTCCCAGACCAACACAAGCCCCCACCTCAGTGAATCCCCCTAAACATGACAGGGGGAACTGTGTTTCTGCAGTCATACCACCTCCTCTCTGAGTTGGTCACCATGCCTATTTCAATCCCTCAGTGTGGGATCTCATACACGGCAGGAACTATACTGAGGTATTGTACACCTGTTGCCTTCCAATCAAAATTCATTAACCACTGATTATGCATCAGACGCTGAGAACCTAAAGATGAATAAAACTAGGGACCGGGAACACATCAGACACAAACGCATATCCGGTTTTCCACCCAATGCTGTACATTTCAGAAGGACTCCATGGGCACACAGCAAAGAGAACCATCCAGTCTGGAACTGGGGTGGGAGTAGGGGGCGCGGGGATGGGACACCTTCACTGAGCCTCAGTTTCCTCAACTGCAAAACAGACCCAGAGTACAGAAAATGAAGGGGAGGCCATATTGCGGGCAACAGGACTCCTTGCAAATATATGGGATTATTGTATAAACAGTCAGTTCAACAAGTACCATTTCACCCAGAAAGCACAACTTTACAACTTCAGGATCTGGCCTGAGATGTCTTCAGAATTGTCTGTCACCTGTTTTTCAACTGTGCACCAACATGACATTTCCCATTGCCTCTGACACCTCCGTGAACACCTGGCAGACACAATAACCCAAGCCACCCGGCATGCCCTCCCACCAGCACACCAGCCTCACCAACATTCCTCCACTCTGACACACGGAGTGCTGCTGCTCCACACGCCTCAGCCCGGCCTGCCATGCGGTGGCACAACAGCCACCTCCACACCTCTCAGGCACCTTCTCTTCGGCAGCCCTAGCACCACCCAGTAGAGCCCTGCCTCCTTTGCCAGGCTGCTTCCTCTGGCCCAGCTCCAGCACCCTCCAGAACCTCCTTATATGGTGCTGCAGCTCAGAGCAGTATGGGGAATCCCTATCAGCCCCAACATCGAGCCCAAAAGCTCCTCTGCACCTCATACTTCCATCACATAGTGGTAGTTTAAAAGGCACCGAGGCTACACAGGCAGGGAACGAAACAATTTCCAAGGAAGGGGGAACAGGAGCCCAGTTACTGGTTCTGAGTAGGAGGATGTGCTGGGCGCCCAGCCCAGAGCAGCCGAGAGGGAGAGTGCACTGAATGAACACACAAAAGAGGCAGAACACACTGGTGCTTCATAGCAGGCAATAGACACGAGTTGCTCCCCACAGGGTGCTCCTGCTTGTCACCTTCATCTGCCCACCACAATCACCCGGACTTGGGCCCAGCCCCAGAAATTCTGGTCCAGCAAGTGTGGGTGGAGCCTGAACACAGATTTCTCACAGGCTGTGCCCAAAGTGAGGGAAGAGGCGCTGCTGGGAGCAATGACGAATCCATTTCTCCCTGAGGAGGCATTGGCAGCATGGGCTGTGACCTCCTACAGTGAGGAATGGGGTAGCCTGGCCCTCTTCACCTGCACGAGGGCCCTCTACCTGCATGAGGAGGTATGGAACTTGAGGGACCACTCCAACCTGCCAACTGTCACCTGGTCCTCCTGCTCACAGGACTCAACAGAAATGTTCCCCTGGGGATTATGAAGCCTGGACCGACTCAGGAAGAGGAAGAAGTCTCATACCCACACTGCCACCTCCTTCCACTCACCAAACAGAATGTAAGCTCAACGAGGGCAGAGATTAGGAAGCCCAGGACCTGCCAGGGCCTAGCTCACAGTGGTGTTCAAACATGTGCTTAATGACCAGGTTGGTGGATGGATGGGAAGCTGGGGCTTTAGGAGAAAAAAAGAACCTGGGGTGGAAAGGATTCTCTATAAATACAGTTCCAATGCTGTGTTTGGCTTTTTTGACCTTGGCTCGATACTAGAGTAAGATTCTTGGCTAAGTACAGAATATAGCATGCATGTCCCTTGAGGATAGAGTCCTAGCAAACAAAATGTTTTAAACCAAATACAGATAGAAAAAAAACAGGCCAGATAGAACTCTGAAACTAGACAACTAAAAAAAGAAAAAACAACAGTGACAATATCTAACATTTACAGGAGAAAACACATTTTAAAATCATCTGTAAATATATTTTATGGTTTCAGAAACCCACATTCCAACAGTGTAAAGTATGGGTGATAAACACAAGGTAAATCTCACAGGAATTACAAAAAATATGGCAAGACAAAACTCAACTGTAACATGAGAGTGAAAAACGGTATCTTGCTCAAGAAAAAGGAGAGGAAGCAGTGAGGAGCACTATGGGCAGGGGTGTAGAAAGGACACTTACTGGTGCTTTGGTATCAAGGAGATCCAGGGGATCCACAGACAAAGATAAAAGCAATACTGCCATGGGAGTGAGCCACACACCTGGCCAGAGAGAAGAATGGGCAACCCTGAGGATGCTAATGACAGCAGGGTTGGGAAGCACAGAGAATCCAAAGCAGGGTTATCAGATAAACTCCCAACTTACCTTGCTGTCAAGTTAAGCTCTCCAAAGACAGAAGAGGCAACTCCTTTGCATAATTCTAACCAACAAGGAAGAACTGATTATAATGCAGAAGTGAGAGAAACTGAGACAAACAAACAGGCCCTGTCATCTTCAAAGAATGATGAGCATCCTGTAGTAAAGTTTCTCAACAAGGTGTTGCCAGCATTCAGACATGACTCTGCACTTGAGCCTCCCAAGCCCTTACCCTGAGACAGATGCAAGGCGTTGTGACCAACCCACCCCAATTTCCCAACGTCCTCTAGAGCCCCCATTGAGAACCATCGGCACTATGAGTGGCCAGGATACTAAAAGACCTGCATGGCAGGTACTGTGGACAGATGGCCCTGTGGACAGAAACTATTTAGCCCAAAATGTTAATCATGCATCCACTGAGGAAAACAACTTCAAGAAGATAAATTCAGGCCAGTGATGGTGGTTCGTGCCTGTAATCCCACTATTTTGGGAGGCCAAGGTGGGTGGATTGCTTGAGCCCAGGAATTCGAGACCAGCCTGGCCAAAATGGCAAAACCCTGTCTCTACTAAAAAAAAAAAAAAAAAAAAAAAAAAAATTAGCCAGATATGGTGGTGTGTGCCTATGGTCTCAGCTACTCGAGAGGCTGAGAGTTAAGAGTGGGAGAATCATCTGAGCCCTGGTGGTCAAGGCTGCAGTGAGCCAAGATTCCAACTACTACACTCCAGCCAGGGCACTGGAGTAAAACCCTGTCTCAAAAAAAAGAAGAAGAAGAAGAAGAGGAAGAAGAAAAAAATTCAAATAATTCAGAAGAGATCAGTTCCATCTGAATACCTGACACTCAAAAGGCCAGATGACTGAAACCCTCAAGACGGTTGTAAACCCTCAAGCAAAACTGTGTCCCAGTAACTGAGAATGGTCCTGATAATGAAAAATTAGGGAAGGAATTGAAGGACATCAATGCAAATTCCAAGAAGTGGAATTCAAAAGGATGTTATAAATGACAGAAGAAAGGCCGTGATAAAAACCGCAAGAGCAGCCCAGCTCTAGAACACTCAGGAAGACCAAAGCCAAGAATGACAGACGCTTACAAATAACACTCCCACAAAGGTTTCAGTTCTGCTCAGAGCAAGAAGCAGCCCAAGTCAGCTGCTCAGGGCTGATGGTGCAATGCTGACAAACAGAGAGAAGAGTTCAAGGGAAAGCAGAACCAGGCAGCTCGCACGTTCCTTCTCTTGATAAAGACAGCAGGCTTCCCAACCAGGGCAGGTGGTGCCAGAGACAGAGCAATGCTTCTCAGAATGAGGTCCACTTCAGAGTCCGGAAGTAGATTTCAATGTATAGAAGGAAACTGAAAGAGCCCAGGATGCCACTCAGCCCTTGAAAAAGGAAAACATCCATGCCCTAAACTCAAGCCCAGAGAGCTTGATGCCCACTCCAGGGCAAAGTATGGAACATGGCAGACAGGGATGGTTACTTAACAGCTTTACAAGCACTAACAGGAGAGATGGACCCTGGGCCCCAGCAGAAGGTCACTGACCCAAGTTCTGAGAGGAGACAGAACAGGATACTGCTGTATATAGCCAGTGCTCTGTTACACAGCTCAGATGTACACACCTAGTCTTGGCAAAGTAGTTAACAGTTTCTCTTTTGCTTCTTTTTGGGGTCTACAATAAGGCCTAGAAAACTAACTGTTTGGCCAGGCGCAGTGGCTCATGCCTGTAATCCTAGCACTTTGGGAGGCTGAGGCGGGTATATTACCTGAGGTTAGGAGTCCGAGACCAGCCTGGCCAACATGATGAAACCCGATCTCTACTATAAATACAAAAAAATTTAGCTGGGCATGTTGGTGAGCACCTGTAATCCCAGCTATTTGGGAGGCTAAAGCAGAAGAATAACTTGAACCTAGGAGGCAGAGATTGCAGTGAGCTGAGGTCATGCCATTGCACTCCAACCTGGGCAACAAGAGCAAAACTGTCTTGGAAAAGAAAAAAAAAAGAAAGAAAACTACTTAAAATCTCACCAGGTAATCCTCATACAAGGTCAGGTTTGAGAACCCCTTAGGAGCCACTAATTTGTGGTCATAGTCCTCTTTAAGAAATCTATGCCAGGGCCAGGTGTAGGGTGTGGTAGTTCATGCCTGTAATCCCAGCATTTTGGGAGGCCAAGGCAGGTGGATCACTTGAGGCCAGGAGTTTGAGACCAGCCTGGCTGACATGGTGAAACCCTGTCTCTACTAAAAATACAAAAATTAGCTGGGCATGGGGGTGCACGCCTGTAATTACAGCTATTCAGGAGGCTGAGGCATGAGAATCACTTGAACCCAGGAGGCAGAGGTTGCAGTGAGTCAAGATCGCACCACTGTACTCCAGCCTGAGCAACAGAGTGAGATCCTGTCTTTAAAAAAGAAAAAACAAATCTAGGCCAAGAATAGTGGCTCACACCTATAATTCCAACCCTGGGAGGTCAAGGCAGGAGGACTGCTTAAGCTCAGCAGTTCAAGACCAGCCTGGGCAATATAGCAAGTCCTTACTGCTAAAAAAAAAAAAAAAAAAAAAAAAAAAAATTAGCCAGGTGTGGTGATATGTGTCTGTTGTCCCAGCTACGCGTGGGTTGACTTGGGACAACCAGTTGAGCCCAAAAGGTCGAGTGAGCCATGGTGGTGCCACTGCACTCCAACCTGGTTAACAGAGTGAGACCCTGTCTCAAAAAAGAAAAAGAAAAAAGAAAAGAAATCCAGGCCAGGCCTGATAACTCACGCCTGTAAACCTGGCACTTTGAGAAGCCGGCTAATCACAAGGTCGGGACTTCAAGACCAGCCTGGTTAACACAGTGAAACCCCATCTCTAATAAAAATACAAAAATTAGCTGAGCATGGTGGCACGCACCTGTAGTCCCAGCTACTCAGGAGGCTGAAGCAGAAGAATCGCTTGAACCCAGGATGCGGAGGTTGCAATGAGCTGAGATCACACCACTGCACTCCAGCCTGGGCAACAGAGTGAGACTTCGTCTCAAAAAAACAGAAAAGAAAAGAAATCCAAAAGCACTAAATGACTCTTCCCCCAGCAAAATATGTAGGAATCCTCCCGTCCAGTAATTCCAACTAAAATTCTTTGATACAACCCAACAATTCCAACTAAAACTCTTTGGTGCAACCCAAATGAGCAGTGTGCAGAATCCCACCAGGTCAGCCTGGTGATTTCCTCCCTCTATCTCCTGGAAGGATGTCCCCAACTGTCCTGCTACCACCAACCCCACATCCCCAACATGTTTATCATTGAAAGCCTCTCTCAAATGCCCATTCCTCTAAGGAGCTCCCCAAGTTCTGGCTAAAAGTGATGCGCCTTTCTCTCAACAGCCACTATGATGTTTCTTTACAAAACAGATAAACAGAGGCTGGATCAAGAAGAGCTGAGGAGAATCAAATGACTTTAGAACTGGTGGCCTGAAGTCACCCTGACAGAAAATGGGCTCAGAGAGATGCAGCCAGGTACCACCTATCAGGGAAGGAACAAATACAGGCTTAAAGACCAAAAGCCTCCAAGAGTCCTTGATAGCAAAATGACACCCCAAGTCACAGAATAAAATATTTTAGAGATCCAGTAAAGATCAGGTCTTGGTTCCAAACACTTAATTTTCTGCCTAGTACAAGACATGAACCTTAGCAGCAGTGTGAAAAACTGACTGGTTTAGCTGACCAACCGTTTGTACTGTGTTTAACATCCAGGCTACCCTCAGCTATTCAGAGCTAGGTGCTGTCTGGTTCTGGGCACCATACTTTAGAAGACCACATCAAATAAGGGCTGCTCAAGAAAAGAACAGCAATGACCATGTCCTTCTAGGAACAATCAAAAGGATCAGGGACCTACGGCCTAAAGAGATGTGAAGATGACACACATCTTGTTCAAACGTTAAAAAGCTCACCTGCTGGCTGGGCAAAGTGGCTCATGCCTGTAATTCCACACTTTGTTGTTTTTTGTTTGAGTGTAGCTCTGTCGCCCAAGCTGGAGTGTAGTGGTGCAATGTCAGCTCACTGCAACCTCCGCCACCCAGGCTCAAGTGATTCTTGTGCCTCAGCCTCCTGAGTAGCTGGGACTACAGGTGCGCACTACCACGCCTGGGTGATTTTTGTATTTTTAGTAGAGACGGGGTTTTACCATGTTGGCCAGGCTGGTCTCCAACTCCTAACCTCAAGTGATCCACCCACCTCAGCCTCCAAAAGTGCTCCTGTAATCCCAGCACTTTGGGATGCCGAGGTGGGAAAATCACTTGAGGCCAGGAGTTGGAGACCAGCCAAGGCAACTTAAGACCTTATCTCTATGGAAAAAAAAACAAAAAATGAAGCAGAAGGATTGTCTGAGCCCAGAAGGTCCAAGCTGCAGTGAGCCATGATCATGCCACTGCACTCCAGCCTGGGTGACAGAGCAAGACCTTGCCGCCAAAAAAAAAGGAATTAAACTTAAAATTTTTAATTTAAATAGTTTATCTGCAAAAGATTCAACCTTCTATATGAGTAAAGAAAGAATTGGGGCTAGTAAGTGTTCCCAGGCAGCTTTTGACTCAGTGCCAAACTCTTTAATGCCACCTCCATGTGGTCTAAGCCCCCTGACTTGGGGCAGTAGGCATCATGTCACTACAGATACTCAAATGGATGGAGCAGACTGGGCAGCCATTGGCCAGGGCTGTCAGCAAGAAGCCACCTGCAC